GGTGGTTCAAAAATCGTTCACTAGGACGGTGCCGAAAGCAGAAATATAAAATATTTATGATTCCAGATGATTAAGCATATGTATTGATCCCGAAATTGTTCACAATGTTATTATTCAACATGTTGTCCAGGTACAATTCACAACTCTCCAGGGATATAAAGTCGAAAATTATATTATTTTCCGGGGAAATTGCATATTTTATCGGAATTGATAATAAAACCTAAATTCAACCATTAAATCTAGGGTAATTTGCTTATCAACTTTGTACATTTCGTATAATTGATGTGGCCCGGCCCCTTAGCCTGTCCTAGCTGCGGCGCCCGTCCCCCTAGCCTGTCCTAGCCGCAGCGCTTGGCCCCCTAGCCTATCTTAGCCGTGGCGCTCGGCCCAGAATTTGTCTTAACCTAACCTAACCATAAATTATAAAAAGTAAATGTACAAAATTGAGAGGAGGGTGGGGGTCCAAAAATCGTTCTCTAGGACGGACCCAAATCTTGAATTAGTTAAATAAAAAGGTTTAGGTGGGTTTCAAATCAAATCAAATCATTTATTTCTGCAGAAAAAAAAACAATATTTACGAATTAATTCAATTCATAATAACCCCAAATTATTCCACTGAATTTCAATATTTTTTGGGACACCCTGTATTAGAATATCTCTATATTTTAACGCTATAACAAAATTCCTGCCCCTCCTGGAAAATACAAAATTAAAAGGAAACTACGTTTAAAAAGTAACACCTGGCAATGACAATTAGACTAAGGATTTGTCTAAATTCATGTTAGCAAAATTTTAAGATACCTAACGATCTTAAATTTATGGCCTTACACCTATATAAGGCTGTCTCAGCTCTCTACTGAGAAAATCATTGAAATGTGTGAGCCAGCAAATCCCAGAAATCGAAGCTATAAAAGAGCTGGTGATCATGGAAATCTTGCCCCCTCCTGGCTGAAATCCTGAATACGCGTCTGAAAAGTTGGATTTATTTTGATCATTGTGCAATATACAGAGCGTCCCATATCATATTAGATTATCTCCAATCTTTAACACCAAAATAAACAGTTCTCTAGGAAACATCCGGATAGAGTTAAAATTTTATAAGGGGCCTTACATATCATCATGGACGGTTACTGTTCTATGTATCGCCCAATTTAGTTAATAAAATAAGATTTTGAAAATTCATGAAAATTAAAAAATACAAGAAATTCTGGTATTTCTTTCAGACTTGTAGCGAATAGTAAAAAAATAGTCTGCTGTAAAACAACATTTAAATGCTAAAATTATTTTACAAAAAAAAATCAGATAACAATGGAATTCGCGTCATCTTCTTTTTCTCGTATTTTTGAAAATCACTTCAAAGATATTGTAATTTGCAACCGAACTGTTTCGAATACAGTCAGAATTTTTGTGTCGTGAAATGTGAATCTCGAGTTCAAGGATTGATCTCCATCCAGGGGCTGATACAGGGTGGGGNCCCTAGTGCAAAACAGGAAAAATATCTGTCTTAATAAACTATAATGTGTGAAAAGTTAAAAATCTAGTTTTTTAGTCTTTAGTCATTAATTTTGACTCTTTTTGAGTCTTTTAAGTCAAAAAAAATTTTCGGATTGATTTAATTCTTCTTCGATATCTCGATATCTCCTGCAAGGATAAGATTAATAAGGGGATGAAGTACATTGTTCTGCAAATTAATAGTGCCCATTTTGGATATCTTTACCTTTTCATAGATGTGTGAAAATTGTAACATTAATTGCAAACTATAAACCATTTAGTATTCTTTCCAAAATAAAAGAAATTGATTCCAAAATTTTAAGAATCTCGCTGTAATGTGGACGTGCAAGATTTTTATTTTTCTAGAATAATAATAAACATTATTTGCCTATTTTTTAGATTAACGGTCTGGTTATTTGTTGTTGGCTGCATAGAATTCTCAAGAGCACAAGATTTAACAGCAGGTTAATATTTTTATATCTTGAAACTCGTGAGAAGTGACTGATGCCGATATTCGTCTATAGATCCTTAGTTTCTTTTAAGAATATAATTTTAAAAGACTGCAATGGCCTATAATGATATAAAAAATGAACGTTCAGTTTCTGCGCTGTTTTTGCCCTATTATTGTTTTCTATTACAGTCCCTTAAACAACTGAATTTTACATTTTTCTGAGGAACGAAGGCCCCGACTGCACTGAAGGACGGATTGACCTTCATTAATTCATGATTGTTTAAATTATTACTAGATGAGGAGTATGAGGAAGAGTATGACTCGATTTACTCAACAACTATTCAAGCTCTTGTCACAACTCTGCCGGAGTCATCTTCCATATCCACATCTTCTAGTTCCTTACCATACTTTACCTCCTCTCCCCCCTCTTCTTCCTCCCCTCTTCCCTCCTCCTCCTCCACTCCTCTCTCCTCCTCCTTCACTCTTCCAGATCTTCCAGTTTTGCCATCAAGCAGAGCCCTAAACTCAAGTGTACTGGGTAAACCGGAGAATCTCTCAGCTCCCCTCATTGAGTCAAGTAAGAGTTATAATTTGTATCCTCTCTAGCTCGGAAACCCAGCTTTGTCTGGAGACTAAATTTTCCATCACCATCACCGAATTTTAATTCACTATTAAAGTCAACGTTCTTAACTTAGAATCTTTAAACAAAGCTAAGAATATTCCCGTAGTTCTACCGAGTTCCCCACTCAAAATTTGAGGCGAATTGGTCAAAGGATTTATGAGTCATGATCTGATCGGACAAATAGACAATCCTTTAGACAGACGAACAGGGACCACTTTTTTAATATATAGAAAACCAATTTTTTTCCTAGTTTTTATTTTGAGATTTTTTCTTTTTGTACCGACAAGGAGCCTTTTTACATTCAAAGTTTTTGCAAGCAAAAATTTTTTTTAATCGCATAAGACTTCTAAAAATAAGATTTTAAGAATAAGTTTTCTTATTTCTATTTATTTCTATTTATTATTTCTTATTTCTTAAGTATTTCATTATCATCAACATTTGAAATCAATAAAATAATCTTATTTTTTGTGAACACTCCCTTTGTTACTAGAGAGTATGCTGCTGACATGGACAATGTCTACGAGCTACAACCTGATCAAGGGGTACAGGGTATTCTACGAGCACAAGTTCACCGACATCAAGACGTTTGACGGACAGAAACCAGAATATAAACTTACTGGGCTTCAACCTTACACCAGGTAGGGTAGGGATCGGTCAGGGGTGTATATTTTCTTGAAAAATCTGTTATATCCCGGCCCAGAAGTTAGTTACGCTGTTAGGGTTTTATTCGCTGAGTTATGAAAAAACATGACTTCTGGTGTCAAATTTTGTACTGCCATGCCCCCTCCCCCCAGTGGACATTCCACAAATGGAGCTTTTTTCCCCCAATTTCAGCACTTTTTAAAGTAAACAGTTCATATCAGTTCTTAAACGTCACTGTGAAACACACATTTGGTAGGGGTTTCTAAACAATATATATCGTCAATAGATTTATTTTGGGATAAAGGGGGGGGGGTATATAATTGCAATGACAATCCCCCTACCCCCCAAATTTTTGACATTTAAATTGACGTTGTAAAACAGCTTAAAGCTCACATTTTCTGTATAAGATTCTTGAGGATTGATATGGTTAGATATGTGATCTGGGTAACTGCTCAGAACTCCCATTTTCTGTATTAGATTCTTGAAGATTGGTTTGATTTAGATATGTGATCTGGGTAACTGCTATAGGAGAGGATGGAGAAGGACAACCTTCAGATAACGCTTCATTTACAACGGATACTTGTAAGTTTTTAAACTAGAGGAAAATATACGAAAATTTCTAGCCACAGCGCTCCCCAGTTAAGCCTAGCTGCTAAATTCCTCTTAAATTATAGCATAGTTATTAAATTTGTGTCTGATATGTCATTAATCCGCTTAAAAATGCTTTTTTATTGCGACATTTCTTTATATACTTAGATCAACCCTCGGCACCATATATAACGAACAATATATTTAGATCAACCCTCGGCACCGTATATAACGAACAATATATTTAGATGATCAGCACCATATATAACGAACAATATATTTAGATCAACCCTCGGCACCGTATATAACGAACAATATATTTAGATCAACCCTCGGCACCATATATAACGAACAATATATTTAGATCAGCCCTCGGCACCGTATATAACGAACAATATATTTAGATCAACCCTCGGCACCATATATAACGAACAATATATTTTGATGAGCCCTCAGCACCATATATAACGAACAATATATTTAGATGAACCCTCAGCACCATATATAACGAACAATATATTTAGATCAACCCTCAGCACCATATATAACGAACAATATATTTAGATGAGCCCTTAGCACCGTATATAACGAACAATATATTTAGATGAACCCTCAGCACCGTATATAACGAACAATATATTTAGATGAGCTTTTGGCACCGTATATAACGAAAACTATATTTAGATGAACCCTCGGCACCGTATATAACGAACAATATATTTAGATGAGCCCTCATCACCATATATAACGAACAATATATTTAGGTGAACCCTCAGCACCGTATATGACGAACAATATATTTAGGTGAACCCTCAGCACCGTATATAACGAACAATATATTTAGATGAACCCTCAGCACCGTATATAACGAACAATATATTTAGATGAGCTTTTGGCACCGTATATAACGAAAACTATATTTAGATGAACCCTCGGCACCGTATATAACGAACAATATATTTAGATGAACCCTCAGCACCGTATATAACGAACAATATATTTAGATGAACACCCTCAGCACCATATATAACGAACAATATATTTAGATGAACCCTCAGCACCATATATAACGAACAATATATTTAGATCAACCCTCAGCACCATATATAACGAACAATATATTTAGATGAGCCCTTAGCACCGTATATAACGAACAATATATTTAGATGAGCCCTCAGCACCGTATATAACGAACAATATATTTAGATGAACCCTTAGCACCGTATATAACGAACAATATATTTAGGTGAACCCTTAGCACCGTATATAACGAACAATATATTAAGATAACCCCTCAGCACCGTATATAACGAACAATATATTTAGATGAGCCCTCGGCACCGTATATAACGAACAATATATTTAGTTGAACCCTCAGCACCGTATATAACGAACAATATATTTAGATGAACCCTCAGCACCGTATATAACGAACAATATATTTAGATGAACCCTCATCACCGTATATAACGAGCAATATATTTAGATGAACCCTCGGCACTGTATATAACGAACAATATATTTAGATGAACCCTCGGCACCGTTGTATATAACGAACAATATATTTAGATGAACCCTCGGCACCGTATATAACGAACAATATATTTAGATGAACCCTCGGCACCGTATATAACGAACGCCACGTGTTATGAAACCTTGAAGATCTATCTGGAGTGGAAAAGACCAAAAATCTACTACAAGTAAGAATAAGGGCAATGTAGTCTAATTTTTTTTTATTTAAAGGGACTGTAAGCGTAATTTTAAGTGACCCTACATCAAAATATGCCAAATTTGCAACGTTACCCTTGAGAACATATCCAATTCAATAAAATTGTAGAAGATTTTTTCTGAATCAAAAAGTGTTAAATTCTTATATTTTCTCCATTCCCTCTGATAAGCAAGAAATGCGCTAGTCCCTATTGCAGAGAACCCGCAAATGAAAATAAACAGTTTATAAAGAAAGAAAAACACGGATGTGTAATTTATACTAAATCAAACAAAGATTTCAAGAGTACCGTTGTAAATCGGACCTAGTCATCTTTTGATGGAGGTTCACTTGAAATAATGCTTACAGTCCTTTTTAACAGAAATAAACTGTCGATGGTTGAAAAGGTTAAATGCCCAGTGCCAATTAAACTTTGTTCTAAACAACATTTAGAAAGAAATCCTCATTTTCCTTTCTGAAATAGAGATAAATCATTTACATTTCTAGCCCGCTGCTTAAAACCGCTGTTTACTTTAAATTTGAATTAGTATTCTAGTGATAATATTATAATATTATAATCTTGGAAAACATGTTAACTTTTTCTCATCATATTTGACACTTGTGACGTCGTGTATAATTGGTCCATTTCTCTGTTGCCACCTATTCCACCTATTGTACTTATTGTACTATTTGAGAATATCTCGACGATTAGAATCTATGTGTAGCATTGTGAAACTGGCATGTAATTCTTTAAAATAGAGGGCATTATACAGAGGGGTAAATATTTCTAAGACATCCTCCCCCCCCCCGAATTTTTTTTCCTGCTCTGAGGGGGGGGGGGGAATGGACATAAACTCGCAAGTTTATTCATTTATTTCTTAAATCATTGATTAAACAATCCGTTTAAATTTAGTGAACAAGGCCTTTATTTTTATTCAGAACTGTTGATTACTACTACATCTACTATAAACCCCTGGAAGCCTCAACCTACAAGCATCATAAAATTCAGGGTAGGAATTTAGAACGTCTGAAAGATTAAATTAGATTCGATTACAGGGAGTAGTTAATTAGATGCTTTTTATAATAAACTAGCGGAAGTGCCCGGCGTTGCCCGTGGAATTTTAGAAACACTTAAAAACAAAAATTGAATTTAAAAAAATCTATTGAAAGATAATTTCATTTTTTTGCCTTTGTTACCCCATGGTACCCATGGGTTCCCTCAAAAAATTACAGCAAATTCGGTCCAGAGGCATTGCCAGCTAAAGCTACCATATATTTAAATATACAAATATATATACATGAACGAAAAGCTTTATTATATATATAGATATGTTATATATTTGTGCTCATTTTTACCTATAG